GGGGCCGGGGGCGGGGGGGGCCCCACCCACTGCTGTCGCGACCTCCCATGAGACCACTGGACTATTACCCAGTCATGAAAAGGAACACAGCTCTGACACTGAGCCAGCATGGACGGCGTGAGGACACAAAGCTCAGCTTGAGCGACATGGGAGGACCCAGCGGCAGTGTGCACGCCCAGGAGAACCCAGGAGCCACAGAGACCGGGTGACACGGGTGGGGAGGCGCCAAGGCAGACAGATGGGGGGAGTTAGTGTGGCACGGGGCAGAGCACGTCTGTGGGCTATGGAAAGTTCTGAGGGCCGGCGTGGCGGGCACAGCCCTGTGACTGGGGGGGGGCAGGCAAGGTGTGGAACTTGACAGCTGCACGGTAATCGCAAAGAAACTTTAAAGACAGACAGATGCTAAAAAGAAACAGAGAGAAACTTAGGGGGCCTCATCACCTGGGTTCCTCCTAGCTCAGGCTAGGTGTGCGTGCGTGTGTCTGCGTGTGTGTGTGTGTGTGCGCGTGCATGCGTGTGCGTGCGTGCGTGTGCGTGTGTGCGTGTGTGTGCGCGTGTGCGCGCGCGTGTGTGTGTGTGTGTGTGTGTGTGTGTGTGCGTGCGCGCGCGCAGGTGCGGCCGAGCCAGTGTGGGCCTAGGGGCGTGGCTGGCATTGTTTGTACAAATGTGACTCCTGGGGTCACCACTTTTGTGCTCAGTGCTGAGTGAGGTCCTCAAATTAATGAAGAAGCGGAGTGGGGGGCGGGGGCGTTGGCAAGATGGCCGCCAAGTCTGACGACCCAAGTTGGCCCCCCACTGGAAAGGGCACTGACTCCCCTCAAGCGATCTTCACACCCGTGCCTCGGCTTGCACACCCACCCCCGAGACAGATCACTAATATCTAAAAGATGATCAGGGTTGTGAATCCACGGCTGACTCGGGAGACCTCGTCTGAAAGGCAGGACTTTCGGGGTGTGAGGTGTGTGCACCTCTGCGTGTGTGTGGTGTGTGTGAGGTGTGTGTGAGGTGTGTGTACCTCTGCGTGTGTGCGGTGTGTGCACCTCTGCATGTGTGAGGTGTGTGCACCTCTGCGTGTGTGTGGTGTGTGTGAGGTGTGTGTACCTCTGCGTGTGTGCGGTGTGTGCACCTCTGCATGTGTGAGGTGTGTGCACCTCTGCGTGTGTGCGGTGTGTGCACATCTGCGTGTGTGTGTGTGTGTGTGTGTGCGCGGTGTGTGCACCTCTGCGTGTGCGGTGTGTGCACCTCTGCGTGTGTGAGGAGGTCAGAGGACAACACACGCGTCAGTCACCATCCCCTTCCACCACCAGCTGTCAGGCCTGGCAGCAAAGACCCTTTCCTGGCCACGCCTTCTCGCTGGCCCCGCCCACCTTATGGGTTTTTTTTTTTTTTTTTTTTTCCGAGACAGGGTTTCTCTGTAGCTTTGGAGCCTGTCCTGGATCTCACTCTGTAGCCCAGGCTGGCCTTGAACTCACAGAGATCCGCCTGTCTCTGCCTCCCGAGTGCTGGGATTAAAGGCGCGCGCCACCACCGCCGGGCGTCCACCTCACGTTTTTAGATGGGGGTTCTCCCTGAGCCCCGGGCTCCCTGTTTTGGGGAGGCTGCTGGCCCGCGCGCCCCAGGATCCCATCCCCATCTCCGCAGCTCTAGGATCACAGATGACGTCACATGCCCGGCAGGTTACGTGAGTGCTGGGGATCTGAACTCGGGTCCTCCCACTTGCCTGCATCAGTTTTCCCACTGAAGGCAGTGGGTCCATTGGTCTCCACCGCGCGGAGGCCACCAAACCACCCCTCAGACCCCGTCAGGAGGCTGTGCCACACTGACCTCTCTCTCTTGGCTCTGAGTCTCTGTTCTTCGTACCTGAAGGGAAGAAAAACAGGGAGTCAGACGCGGCCGCAGCGGAGCCACGGAGTGAAGGGGAGGGCGGGCGCCGGGGGAGGGCGGGCGCCGGGGGAGGGCGGGCGCCGGGACTGAGCTTCGGTGTGGGGGCGGCCGAGCCGGTGCGGATTTCAATGTGAGCCTGTGAGTGCGTGCAGCACCCGCAGAGGCCGGGAGGGGGCGTCGTGAGCCCCGCGTGGGTGCCGGGAGCCGAACCCGGGTCCTCGGCAGGGGCAGCCGGGGCGCTGACCGCTGAGCCGCCTGTCCGGCCCCCCAGCGTGGGGCCCCAGGGTCACTCACTGCAAGACGCACTCCGGCAGCTGCACGTGCTCCATGGGAATGAGCTGCTCCAGCTGCTCCAGGCTGTGCACGTACTGGATCTTGCTGATGAACTTGACGCTGAGGGCACGCAAGGGCGGACAAGGGGTCACCGGGGTCGCCAAGTCCCCCACGCCGGCCCGGAACTCACCACCCTCCTGCCTCAGCAGGGCGTGATGAACGACCAACACCCCGGGTGTGTTCTTTCTAGAATCGTTCTCTCACGCCTCCTCACTGTGCGTGCGGGAGGACAACGTGAGGTCCCTCCGCCCGACGTGCGGTCTCGGTCTCGGGGACCGAACTCAGGCTGTCGGCTCGGGCCGCAGGCTCCTCTCCCCGCAGAGCCGTCCCGCCAGCCCCTCAGACGGATCCTTACAAACACAGGGCAGAATTCTCCGCCTAGCCTGGTGCTCACAGAGCTGAGGCAGGAGGATGGCCACTTCAGTGCTGACCAGGGAGACTTTAAACCAAGGGCCGGAGCAGAGGGCTCCGCTGATGAAACCAGTGCGGTGCAGCTATAACCGGGGCGGGGGAGACCGGGGC